TAAACACTTGCTTCGCTGCGCCCCGTTGTTGTAACAACAAACTCTTAATATTATATTATGCGACACATTTGATAAACGAAACATTACTCACGAGTTTATTTTGCCACAAGCGGAGCGAATGATGTTTACTATATTTTTTCCACGACCGTCAAATTTTCGCAAAAACAACACTGAGTAACGCATGAATAGGAAACAAACAAAACAGATACAGAATCATCAGAACTGACAAATGGAAAAATTCCATTAGTGTTTTAAATATCTACCGAAGATATCCGTTAGCTTCCGACCTGTGACTAAAGGATCGGACCGCGCGAGCTGGCTTGCGACGTTTTAAAGTAAGACCTTGCGCATGTCCAGTGACTATTTTGCAAGATAATTCGAACTTTCAGTTTTTGTAAGCAGGCAAGTTTTCTTTAAAGCTTCCAGTGGAACGGGTTATTCAACACTGCCACTGATATTCCGCCCCGGTCTTGTCCCTTACATTTTTGGTTGTTGGGCTTAGTCAGCAACAATAGGCATGAAGGGTGTAACTGCATTTTGGGGGAGGGTCCGTGAAAAGCGAAGATGATATACTTTGCGACACACTATACCTGTTTCAGGTTTACATGACTTCTTCGTTTCTACTTCTTAAATTGTTCGGAACTTATTTTCTCTCTTGTCTCGTGTCTCTGTTCATATGAACTTTTTTTCTATATTTTATTTATATTCAACTCTGGAACTCTGGAACCTCGACATAAAATTGAATAACCGATGTATCGTGAAGTTAATCTGGGTTGAATGGGATAAACAACTGATGAAATTGTCGTCTGCCAGTTTGCGCAGTTCAAATTTCGTTTTTCAGCAACACGGCATGCTTCAAAGCAGATCGACGCTACCAAAAATAATTGTGGCAAACAAATTATAATGCGAAATCGGAGTAGGTCGAGAAACGAGTCCATTAACTTCACTTTCAATTAACAGTTTAGGAATCGGCAGCGTTGTTGTTCCGAACGCCAAGTTTAAAGTATGACGCATTAAAGTACCGCTAGGGCTATATGAGCACAACCGCAACTGCTCAGTCAACTGTTTTCGCGCCGTTGTCAGATTTAAACTGTCCAGCGTTTTTTTGTTGATACAAATGGAATCTCGGTTTTTGCCGGGAATTACCGTTGCCGGATTCAATTTGTCGCCAAAAGAAAATAATAGCTTGCTCGAAAAAAGTATTCTGCGATGAAGTAATTTTGAAGTTGCTCACTATATTAATTAACACGGTAAAGTAAACCCGCGAAACAATAAAAACAAGGCATGGCGAAAGTGCTACATCCATTTTAATTTATATAATATTGGAATTTACAACGCAACAGTATAATGATTTCGTTAAAATAGATTGCTGCCATTAAAATTGAATGAAGTTGACGATATATTTTGAGACGCTGACACAAAGACATTATATTACCGCTAATTGACTGTAACATTCCAAACAACGTTTTTGTCAGAATGAGGATTTTTTGGGATGCTGTTTTCACATCTTGGCTACCTCGGACAATTGATATGAGAAATTAATTATTTACATTTCTTTATTTTCTTGCGGTACCAATCAAAACACTTCAAAATCTCGCTTGGAAAAATGTAGATCGCATGTAGTTTTTGCAAATTTGTCGACCAAAAACTCAATTTCACTCTAAAATACCCAATTATCAAGCACGCACAAACCTTCGCTAACCAAAAATATAGCATAGATAGAATGCAATTTATTTATTAACTTCTTCTACAGTCTAATTTCTAAAACTTATGGCATATACTATTCCATTTCACTCGACCACATTGGCAAGTTTAACTAGGAGTGTTAAAAGTTGTATTCTTAATTTTCCACCATCTTATTTATATATCCTGCGCAATTTGTTTTTAAATGGCTTTATTATAAACATCAAAAATATTAACGATACAATATCTGAGATTTTAGAGAGAAACGGGTCCAGCCAAATTGTAAGAGTCGAGATGATCGTTATAATTTACATACCAAAAATATTGTTTGAAACTTGATTACTTTTTCTATACTTAATAACAGCAAAAACACGCCAAGTTAAAGAAAAAACTTCATAAGAGTTGCTCCACCTCCTCTGTATTAAATATGGAGTTCTAGATTCTAGCACAGTCACACAACAAACTATATTACAAACTATATTTATTTTAAAGATGGGGAATTGTGGCAAAACTAAACAAAATATGGAAAGGTTAGCAAATTTAAATAGAAATAAAAATTTGTTTATTTATTTAATTGCAATCAACACCGCACGTTATCGCAAAAAGAGAAAAAAAAAAGAAACTAGGTTCCTTCCACACCAGCGCTAGCAAATACATACTCATCGAAGTGAAATTTACAGATAATACCAAATACAATACTTTAGGATTTAAATGCTAATTTTTTCAAGTGGTTTTTGAATGAATTGCTGTACAATCAAAAATTCGACGCCAACATTGGTACGAGGTCTATTTAAATAATTTGTGAAATAAGGGTTACAGTTACAGTTACAGAAAAGAACAATCAATTTCATAATTTATAAAAGAAAGTAAATATAGATTTCTTCCGTCTCGATTCTAGCGGTTCATAATGAAATGAAGTGAAGTTTGATTTGTTATGTCAAATATGTAAATTCCATATTTATTTATAGAATAAAATGCGTAAAAATTTCTTCTGGTTTTTTCGATTTCCTCACTATATCTTTGGCAAAGGGGGGACCAGTGTACTTTTTACTAGCGAGTTGTACAAGGTTTCAAAAGTTTTTATTTGTTGAAAATTTTATCCGTTTCTGAGAGTAAAACTCAACATTACATACGCCCTTTTCATTGTGGTAGGTATATGTGTTTCGAAGCTTGTGTCTTAAGTCACGCCCAGGCCTTTAATTTGCTTTTTTATTGTTAATATTATATTATTGAGTCGATAATCATAATTTTATGGGTAAATTTCAATTTCATATTTGTACATTAAAGGATAACTTGTTTTCATTAGCACATTCACATTTATTAAGCAAAGGAAAAACAGCGGACCCTGCGGCACGCCTGAACATGGGACAAATTCATATGACCCTACGCCATTTACCACAACGTACATTATTCTTTTCTTTAAGTACGATGCACATACCTTAAGGATATCGACAGAGACACCGAAAGCATTTAGAAGTACGTCGTGATCAACTCGATCCAACCCTTTTGAGAACCCTGTAAATATAACGTCTACTTATTATTGTTATATACGGATTTTTATTTAATTTTATGTAAAAAGCTAGTAAAGTTGGTTTCTGTCGATCTTCTCGACATAAAGTCGTATAATTATTAATTTCTGACTTTTTTCCACTTTTTTGAATTGGGCAAATTATGCAATTGGGTAGTCTTGGGTTTTAAGAGTAAACTTAAAAATTATTTTTAATGGTCGTAGAAGCTGATAGATACACGTTTTGAATATAAATGGAAAGATCTTGTCTGGACCCATTAACTTTTTGGGCTTCATTTTTTTAGTGGTATCTAAAATATCTTTATCCGATATAGAATCAATTTTCAAGATGTGATGTGATTTGTATTCGTATATACACTTTTAAAATAATCTGCAAATTTATGTGCAGTCTGATCAGTTCTGTGAATCTGTTTCCCGTCAAAGAACATCGAGCCAGGCAGACCACTAGAGCTCGAGCGGTTGACTGTTTGATATTCCGAATAATGACATATGGATATTGAGATAATCAGAAAAAAGAAAGTATAAAACACAGATACAAAATACAAATATATCGACTACAGAACATAAACGAGCTAAAAATTAGTAAAAGTCCATCCAGCAAAGTTCAACTAGGGTAATTAAAAAAAATATTTTAAACATTTCTATGTTAGTGAGATAATGCAGAGACTACGAAGAAAATGCTAGAACTAGATAGATTAAAAGAATAATCAAATAGTACAACATTAACACAATCAAAAGAAATAAGAACTAAAAGTTCAGATTTTCACGAAATTATATATTTCGACATGACAATTGTTTCGACAACACCCCGTGTCTTTATCAAATGTCACAAATGCAATTTTATTATTTACTATTCCAGAAGGCTTTATAGAAAATTAAAAATATATTAATAATATATTCTTGATTACTTAGCACTATACCGTTTCTATTGCAAGTGAGAGTAGTAGCGTAAAGGGATATGGAACTAACGAAAACACTTAAGTCTAAAATAACAATAATAATAATAATAATAATAATAATAATAATAATAATAGTAGCCACCCTGATCTATTTAACCCAACAGATTGAGAAATATAATAACAAAAAAAAATTTACTTCTCACACTTATTAATGTATCCTATTTTGCTCACGTTTGTTAAAGATAGACTGTACTGTCTTTTTTAACTTTACTTTTCGAAAAAAATATCTGAAAGCATAAAATTTAAATCTACTTGGAGTCAGGGCTTGTAAGTTATTAGGAAGACTATTATACAATTTAGCTATATTAAAGGAAAAACCAAGCTCAAATCGTGTTGTTTTTGTTTGTTTGTTTTTGTTTTGTGTATGTTATGGCACCTCTAAATCTAATATTTAAATTATGAACATGAGATTTGAACACAATCCTTCTGTACAGATATTGAGGAATTTTGGACTATAGAACTTTGTGATAAAAACAGTCTTCATGTAGTTTTCTTCTGCTAATACCGTATATTAGTCGCAAAAATGAATTCTGCACTTTCTGTATAGAGTAAACACTGATTTTACGCCAAGCTGTATCTTCACACAGTCGACTATAATGCAAATTGGCGAAACTTTCCGCCACTAGCAACCAACTAACAAGTCGAAGACCATAAACCAGTTTAGAAAATTATCGGAAATGGAAGTTTTTTCGTATTTTTTTTATTCACCTGAAACAAATTTACCCAAGCTCTTAGACCGCAATCAACATTTATAGCTTTATTTGTTTCAGAATCGATTCACGATGGGAAGGTGACAAAAAACAACAACCCTCCCGATTCCACCGCTTCAAATGGACACAATGAAATATCCGAACGTGTCAGGAAACAACATGGCAGTAAGCGGCAACGACTCTCAAGTGGACGAGGTCGACTCCATATTCACTTCATCGTGTTGGCAAAGTTCGAACCAAAACGATTTTATCGAAAACAATAAACTAATTCTGGACAACACGATCAGCAATCTCGGCTCCGACAAACTTCTGCTCGATTCCTCGCTGAGTCAAGACGATAACGAAATCGAAGCGAAAGTTTCCATGGAAGATGCGCTGGACGGTTTGCTTAACTCACAATCGATGAATTTGGCGGAACTGAAGCCGTTACCCCCTTTTACCGGATACACGGCAAATCTAAGCATCAACGGCATTCCCGGGCATCATTATCACACGATCAGTCAACGCGTACCCGAAGAAAACAACAACTACAGCAACTACAACGAACAAAACATCGTATCCAGTTCGACGTGTAACATAAACGTCGATTCGGCGGGAGAGAAGACCTTATACTCGGTCGATGACGTTGTAAAATTGGGTTTCGCCGACTGCGTCGATCCAGATTCCGTGTCTAGTGCTATAAAGTACGAAGATTGTACCCAAACCGTTTTGGAACCGGGCGCACAGATCAAAACGGAAATGGCGGAATACGACATTTCGTCGATAGAAGACATAGCCGCCATCATAGGATCCGCAATCGCTGACACTACGGTACCTAATAACCCTGAAAGCGACGATCCGACCTGTTCGAGGGACAGTTGGATGGACATCGACGCCTGGATAGACGGGGCGTGTGGCGAGCAACCGAAAAGTGTCGTCATATCGCAGGACAGCATCTCGGAATTCCTAATACCAAACAACAACAACGAGTTTTCAAGAACCCAAACATCTGTCGAGTACAGTAGTAAAGGACCTCAATCGGGGTCCACACTCCAAGGTCTACTTACGCACGGAAATATGCCCCTTTTGCAATACAGATTGCAGAACGGTCCTCCTATCAAGCAGGAAAGTTCCAACACGTCCAATTACACGGCGGAAATTATCTCAACCTCAAGCCCGCCATCCAACGTCGTGTCGACGACGGAAAATTTGCTTTTAACGGTAAACGGAAGGTTTATGTCTCCTTACGGTGTGCACAATCTAAACGAAAACCATAGAATACGAAGTCCGGATATGTTGGGTCAAAACTACCCACACACCACAACCATAACGCCGTCCACTCCGAAAAAGCCCAGACGGCCACCGAAAAAACAGTCGGCCGCAAGTTCGACGATTTTTTCGTCCGATCAGACTTTGGGTTTGCTGGGAAAAGAAAAACCCGTCCATCGGTGTAGTATTTGCAACAGGGGATTCTTAAACAAAAGCAACATCAAAGTCCATCTGAGGACTCACACGGGAGAAAAACCGTTCAGGTGCGATACGTGTGCAAAAGCGTTTCGGCAAAAAGCCCATTTGTTAAAGCACCAACAAATTCACAAAAGGATTGGAAGAGACTGAAAGTGTTCGTTACAAGACTAGACTATACGCGAAATTCAAGTTCAGTTATCGTCCCAATTTAAACAGATCCCGTTCATATGCGATGAAATCCAGATTGAAAACCTGCCTGAAATGTTCAAGCCGTTAAAATTATTTCAATTTCGAGAGGATTTGTTGCATTCTACTGACCCCAGAATTACAAGAGACCAATAAAAACGAATTAGGGAGCCTTGCATTTCATACAGTAATAGTAATAGATCTCATTAATCTATATAAGATGTGTAGTTCTTTCCGGAATTTTGAATTAGATGGACACAGAACTGTCATGTTTTATGAGAGTCATTTAATGACAGTGATAAGTCAACTTCTTTTTCTTTATTGTTCTAATAACTAACAGATTTATAACAATGAGGACTGCTTAGATGAAAAAAAATATGTATATATACATAAATTAATAATAACTAAAATACGAAATTCTTATTTATTACAAACAATTGAATTTTAGAATTATTTAATTGATAATCCCACATTTTAAATGGCTAACCAAACTTGTAATTCAGTCATAACCATTTTACATTTCCTCGCATGGCTCGGATATGAGTAGTGATTTTCTCTTGTTTTTATTAAACTTTTTTGTTTTATCATTATTTTTAATTTTGCAAAGAAGCTTCCACAGGCTACTGTAATACTATTTACTAAACTTCTGGATTCCTACGTCGGTTGTTGTTGAGTCGTAATTGCTTGAAACTAACCTCTGCAGAAGCCAACAGGATCATTAGTATCATTAGCATCATTATTTTTGTTCATATTTACCAATGTTTAGTACGAAATGTTTGTAATTAATAATTTCCCCTTTTAGTTATAAATTTACATATATAGATATACAAGTTTTTTTTGTCGCCTGACGCTGCAGGGGTCCTGATTCCTATAAATCTTTTAGTGAGTTAATTTTTCAACATTTTATAAGCTTCTTATAATTTCTGAAACACTATATTTAACTCTTAGTCTGTCGCTTTCGGACATACTTGGTATCTATTAGATGTAAAAATGTTTTATTATTTTTCTCCCTTAAGAAATATTTGCTTAGCAATGGCAGCAATTTCCCGCACGCCCTTTGTTCTCGAAGTGCGCAGGATACATAAGAACTTGGTGAAAAATGAACACATTGAGAATAGTCTCCTAGTTTAAACTTGAATTTAACGATAGTCGCTGGCATGTCTGATTTATGCTAAAAGTTACATCGTCATGCAATTTTTTTTGAGGTTTGAGTTGAAGTATTTCTTTGAAAGAAACTACTTTTTTGTGTAGTGAATTATTTTTCTCATTAACTTCAACCAACCAACACCAAAAGGAAGACAAAAATAATGTCGAAATAATAAGTAAAAAAGCAAAAACAAAACTCGATACGGAAACCCAGGTTAGTTGTTGTCGCTTTTGATATTTAACAAAAATATGTCAAGACTCAAAGAGAGGAGCGAAGAATGATACGCTGTTGTCATATTTGTCAAAGATTTTCGCGTTGTGAGGTACTAATTCAGGCAGCAAACATCTGTGTCTATCTGCAAAGTTAATACTTCCTTTCCTTTAAAATATCGAAGTAACGTTGTCGTACTTGAAATATCCATACGAAACGATATTTTTTATGTACAGTATATGGAACAATATCTCCAACACGACAATTGTGAGAGACGGCTCAATAAACAAATTTTTTTTCTAGAAAAGACCCAAGTTATTTAAGTGAAAATTAAAATGTTTATTTTCGGTATTGATTAATAGTTCTGATAAAAGGAAAACCACTCCACATTCTAGTTTTGCAATACGTACCAATAGTTTTGACTGACAATCAACCTAATGCTCGACCTCGACCAGTTCGATAGGGTTAAATTTACTGTAAATTACCTGACATAAACACCATGGTTAAACGTCCCGATTGGTTCGGTTTTTGTTAGAAAATCTTCCGTTTGTATGCTTAATTCCAAATTATTTAATTATTTAATCACGTCAGTAAAAGTTGCAATTGGTATGACTTTGTTTGGAAATTTTTAAAATTTTGTAATAAAATGTGATCTCTCGCGACTTCCGTATATCGAATAAATTATTATACAAAAGTAGGCAGGTAAATGAGGTTAAAGATATGTGTGTTAATTAATGACATCTGGTGGATGCGGGTTCCCTAACAAAAGGTTTTGCCCAGGTTCAGTCACTAGCGCAAACGTGAAGAATGGCCATTATTAAAATGTCTATTAAAACAAATCTAAACTTTAAATTCAAGTTGAATTTCCGGGATCTATTTAAAATGGTGAATGTACAGGCGTTTCTCCTATATTTTTGCACACTACCTGGAGGCGGGCCCATAAATAATGTTCAAAAAGAGTTTAAATAAGAAAAGGATGCAAAAATATGCGGGAAAACCCAGCACACCTTTGGTAGCCATAAAAAATGATAATAAAGTCCACATTATTTCCTCAGCAATCCAAAGATATTTATTTGACTATTTAAAGTGATACTACCAAATGTCTTGACACGAAACCCATAAAGATATTTCTTTTTTTATATTCTGCTTAAGAAATTATTAGGAGTTTATTGTCCAAAATATTTGAATGGAAATATTCGTAATAGCTATTTGGTGTATATAATTTCCTTCCTTTTGTAGAAAATATTTTCATTTGCAGACATCGCAGTTGGCAACGGTCACTTTGAAGAAATTTGGAGTACAACAAAAATTTCGTTTAACAATCCTACAAAAACAAAACGTACATAATTTGCTGAATTGATTTAAACAGAAAAAGACGATACGGGTAATTTTTTCTTGTATATTTTGTGAATTCCGCGCAAATTTCCTTTATCATACTGAAAATATGTGTAGGTACTTCATGATAACGTATTAAAAACGAGTTTTGTACAAATTAATTTGTATATAAAATATTGTATTTAAATTATTTTTTATTTATTTTTATTATTAAAAAAAGTAGAACGGAGAATAATACTTATAGGTTTTCGAAATTAGGCGTTTGTGTATAATGATTTAAGAAAATTATAAAGTACCTCACTGTCGTATTTGTAATATTTCTGTTAATGTGCAATCATCAGTTAGTGAAACGATCAAATAATTGTCAAAGCATTATAAAAATAAGGTAAGTTCAAGATATGCTGGTTCTAAAGACTCAACTTTGTACTTGTACTACCGTTTTTATGCCGTTTTATTCTACAGAAATTACGGTTTTCCTATATCCAGACACGCATTTGCCTTAGACAAATTTCTGTATTTTTCTATTTCCTTGTTGCGAAAGTGTTTCCCACGTCACATGAAACACTATGTGATAGAAAAACATACTTAATATTTAAGTAGTGTATTTGTATTATTACAAATTATTGTAAAATCTTTCATTGATTGTATAGAGGTGGATCCCAAGACACAATATTTATGTATAAAATTAGGTACTGTGCTTCGTGTATTAATACGCAAAAGTTCGTAGATTTTTTATAGATCTCAGTTAGTTTTGTCGCTTTGTTCCCAATTATCGGCGCCATAGACTTGGCGTTTTGATCCCCTTGCCCAGAGTTGAAAGACATTTCACACTTGTTTTTTTGGGAAAACGGTTGAAAACGTTTCCCTATATTTTACCGCTGTAATCATTATGGCGAATTCAGAATTAAAGAGAAACTATTTTCTAAACTGCCTATTTTTGTATAATTTGTGATATTTGTATGCAAAAAATGTATCTTCTATCATTAACAAAATAGGTAATTGAATAATTCTTGTAGCTTTTATGTCATTACTTTGCTCGTTGTTATTACTTTATTGTTGATTATGTTAATAAGTATTTTGTATAATAAATTATTATTTTTCCTAAACCTAAATAGTTTCTATAACAATATAAAATTTTACCGAAATTTCTTTATCAAAATTCTTTAAATTTCTGCCGCACGTATGTTGGAAACCACTTTTCAACTGTACAGACATAAGGAATAAATATGTGGTCTAAAAGCGCAATTTTCAATTCCAGTTTTAATATTATTGTAAGAGAATGTTATTTCCAAACAATATTTTGACCTTCGTTGGGTACACATGACTGACTTGCGTTTTCTGTTATAACATCAAATTCCTGATGCAACATTTGTTATGAAACATATACTAGCTTAGTTACAGGTGGTATTAATAAAAGTTTATAATTTGATTATATAAAAAAAATCATAAAATTCAAAATTAATGTTTGAAAAGTTTTTTCTACTAGCGCTAAAAGCATTGAGAAGTTATTTTCTTATAAAAATTATAATCCTATGGAACATTCTTTCAAATAAAGTATGCTAATGCTGAAATTTTACCCCTTATGGTTTGGAAGCAATCAGCCAAATTATTATCGGCATCCGACTTCGTGCGCGCATTTGAACTAGAGCTACATTGAAATTTTAAATAATATTTACATATTAATAGGCAAACAGCAAAATGCATATTATTGTTAGTTTTGCAAAAAAAAAATAATGGTATCAAGACAACATTTTGTACGATGTGTACATAATGGAAAATGTTTTATTTGTGAAGAATGAAAAATTAACTGTAATAATATAGCATTGTTTTGTATGACCTACCGCAATATTTTAAATGCGAGAAATGAAAATTGAGATGTCGGATTGTCACATGTTTTTACAAAAGCTTTCAAAAATACAAATTAATTTCTTGAAAAATATATAGATTGTTTAATTAAAAAAAAGTTGATCATTATTCCAAACAGTAGTATTTAATGAGTTAACAGACAAGTTATATGGCATGCTATGGCATCTTTGGGCAGTTGCAACCAAAGTCGGACACACTGTACAAAGACGCCCTGTATGTATTCTATATGACATATATTATCATATACCTGACGATATTTCATCTATATCCTTAAACCTGGAACCACCACATTTTAATGTTTTTTTTATTCACGCTAAAATAACTAGGTACAAAATAAAATAATTATTATATGCACCCACTGATACCAAAATTTATTTATTTATATTGTCATATTGCAAATATGATTTAATTCAGTCTTCACATTTAATATGCGAAGTTGTTCACTTTTAGACCTTGTGCAAAAATGCGGGGATAGTGGATAGTGGAGCCAGATATACAGAGATCTCTATAGAAATATAGAGGGTGTTTAACGGTAACGTTAT